TTTTCCATTTTATTACATGTTAATTTGTTCATCATACTTTATCAGTTGGAAGAAACAGACCCCGTAACACCGAAAGAAGACTTAACCAGGTCAGAAAGATCAGCATAGGGGATAGAAGTGCAGGGCATTTAGGTTAAACTAAAGTATTAGTTGTCCAGTACTTTACCGATTCAACAGTATTTGAGATTTTTAAAACTTTTTGGGACGAAACAATTTTTTTTTTTGCAAAAGTTCTCTGTTCTGAACTTGAGCTAGTTTAAAATGAATTACGTTTTTTGCTTATCTCCCGACAGATATCAGTATAATGTTAAGATTGGACATTTTTGCTGTATGGAAGTCTGCTCTCTTTTCTTCGCAGTCTTTAGCGCAAAATAAGTCAAGCTGAGGTAAGATAACCAGAAATCAGCTAAGTTTAGCCGTAAGTATAAAGTTATTATCAAAGATTTCGTTGCGAATACAGAGGTGAATATTGGGTTTAAAGAGGTTCGTTCAGTTAAATTCAGAATATACAACTCAATTTAACACTGGGCTTGATTTTTCACTTCTTGTTTATATGGGTTCGAATTCAACAAAAAAAAAAGAAAGAGAAAAAGAAAAAAACAGTGAGTGTTAATTGGGTTTTTGTGACATGCGTTTTTAAACTGTTTTCCCTACGACCACGTTATCTATCTTTTTTGCAGATGAGCCATGCGCTCGTTAAAGGTGATGAAGATAATGAAATAAAAGGCTGCTTTTCCGAAGCAAGCACTTCCGGTTAGTTGTTTATTTCTTAACCAATGTTGAAAACTTTTAACAAGACTTACAACATCTAAAAATTTAGGACCAACGTGTTGGATGAATTTTTCTCATACAATAAATAGGATTTTACTTCACATATCTGTTAGCAGTATTTTGAATGCCTTGTAGCTTACTGTTTTTCGTTTTCTTTAAAACCATTTTGTTATGAGGGTTTTTAATGCCACGTTAAGTTTGTCTTATTTTAGAGCAACACCGTGACGCTTTCACTCCTATTTTGTTCGTCGACTTGCTTGAGTTGGATTCTTACAGTGAGATGTCACTGGAAGCTACTGTGTAAAAACTGTTGTTTTTTATTGAAAAGGTTTTTAATGGTTTATGAAAACAGTTTAGCAGTGCTGTTTTTGTTCATTTTTGAAATTTTTTAGCAAAGGAATATGTTTTGAAAATGCAGCGACTGAAAGTTTCAGTGAATCTGCTCTCTGTTTTGCGGGCAATCAAACGAAATTTCAAGTTTCTGAACGAGGTGAAGGGTCATGTGAAAGATGTGAAGGTATTTCAAGGTAATGATCGCATTTGTTTTTTTTTTGTGTTGGTATGAAAGTTCGCAGTTTCAACAGAGTGTCTACAATAATTTTGCGCTTGAGTTTTTAAAAGCTTTTCTGCTGTTCAGAACTTTATTTGGTCTGGAACTTGTCGTACTGCTGTTCTGCCCAGACCTGCTCTTTACATATCTGTTATAAATTTTATATTTGAGGAAGTGAATTAGTGGGAAAGTTATTTTTTCTTCTTATAATGTTATTTTTTATTTCTTTATTTTACTTTTAGCTCTTGTTCGGACATAAAGAGGTCTTCAGATGGTTTAGTCAGGGTCGCTAAGTAAGATATTGCTGTTAATCTATTTCATGTGATCCTTTGAATAAAAAATTATATTTTGTCGCGGGAATCCTTTTTTTTCCTGTCTCAAGGGGGTTTTGATGGCACACCTATCATTTCAGGCGTTCTGCGAATTTCCAAAGCAGTGAAGACAACGATTCTTCGTACGAAGATCCCAGAGCACTCGATTCAGAATCACGTAGAACTTATCTTCTGGTAGTACTTTTTAAAATCTTGTATGTAAACTTCCAAATGTGTTTAAAGTTCTTTCAATAATTTTCTCTCTTCTCTGGTATGTTGATTGGTTTTAAAAAAGATTAAAACTTCAGCTTGCTACGAATGGGACAGCGGAGAAATCTTGTCATTCCCCAGCAAAGGTAGAATGCAGGTAGTTTTTTTTTTGAAGATGGATACGCTAAACCGTAGCCACTTCAGTATGGCTATCGTAAAGTTATATGAAACCTTCAAATTTTTTTCAACGATCCAATGCTTGTTTTCAGCACCCTGGATAAACATTCTTTGCGGAAGTCATTAAGAAAGAAGTTGAAAGGGACAGAGGCTAGTAGTGACGGTGACTTAGTATCAAAAGACAAATTTAAGGTGTTTATAATTAAACTTGCTTTTTTGCAGAATGATGAATGATTAGCAGAATTTTTTGACATCGCTTGACTTCCTTATTTGATGTATTTATGGTTTTGCGAATTTTTTGGTTTATTACTGGAAAAGCATAATTTGTTTCATTTTTCTTGATTACTGCTGCTACTTTTTTTTATTACCTTAGGAAGGTTGCGAGTCACCTTGCATTCAGTCCTGTAGTGGGGTCGCAGCAAGCGAGTTGGTGACTGGGAATTCAGAACTTCAGTGCTCTGATTGGTTAGTTACCTAATTTAAATAGTTGAGTTTCACTACTTTTATGAATTTTGTTTAGTTCTGTTACTCCTGACTTAAAGAAGTTGGTCAAGCGATATTCTAAACTTCGCTTTCTCCTAGTGATGTACCATGAACGAATAACGGAAGTTGAAAAGGAAAACGAAGCTTTGAAAGGGCTTTGTAGGAATCTACAGAATCGATTTGTTGATGAAAAGTAGCATTATTGTTGTATTATAGTTTGCATTAACCTGCGATAAAATAGGCAGTTTTGTTGTTCAGTGTTACTTTGTTTAGACAGCACTAGTTAGAGCAGAAATGTAAGGATTAAAAAGCAAAATACTCATTATATTTCTGTTTGGAGATAGCTCTCAGTGAATTTTCAGACGTAGAATTCACAGTGAAGTTACTAAGCTCCAAAAAAGCCTTCGTTGTATAGTGGCTGAGATGAATGCGTACCATAAAGCTTTATTGAGTGCTTATGACGAGGTTTGAATTTTTTCTTTTT